AAATATATTCTTAAAACTTAGACTTCTTAAATATTAGTGCTAAATGTGACAATAAGTATAACTTGATAGATTTTACATTATTCCTTAAGATTAAGGATTTTTTAATTAATAGTATTATGTAGACATTTAATATTCGGTTTTGCAATCAAAGTCACATTTAGTAGTACCTTAAAATATGCATCTTTATTCATAACATTTTATATTTATGAAGTTTGAAGATGACGCAAAAAATATAAGTAAAAATGACCAGTTATGTTAAAGATACAATATATAGAATTATGAATACATTAACTAATATTCAATTAGCATTTTCACAGGCATCAATCCAATCATTATATACATCCAAAGGTTCCGACAGTAGATTGATAGTTGTCTGAAAGTCTTCTAAGCATACCCTGCAGGTTATCCTGGCAGTACTCCTGGATTTGTCCCTAGTATTACAAAGAAAAAAATTTCAGAAGAAAAATTTAAATTTATTATTCTGTTACTAAGTTAACAGGAATCTCTTTGAATTTTTAAATAATTAATTTTTATCTAAAAATAATTTGATCATTAAAGTTCGTGTTGAATTGATAAAGCTAATATAAATAAAGAAATTAAAAGTTGAGTGTTGCTTCAAGTTGACTAAAATTTGATTTTGAGATGATAAAATACTCTATATATAAGCAATAAACTTGTTGATGGGTTCAGGTTCACTTCAATTTATTAAAAATCAAAAAGTCAAGAATTTGGAAAAAAAAAGTTTATCAATTCATTTCAAGAACAATAAATTAATGAGATTCAATATAAGATTATGCACGTTTCTATCAATGTAGCATAAATTCAATCTTGATTCAACTTATTCTTCATCTTTTTTGAATTGATCTTAGGATCAATTCAAAATTAGCCAATGTAAGATTAACTTTAATATTGATTTAACTATTTATTTATTTTTTAATTATATCTATTTTACCAAAATAAATTATTTTACTTTAATCTTGTTTTAACTCACTATTCATTTCTTTACAACTCTAAAAATTAGATAAAGATAAAATATAAGCTAAACCGATATTAAGGATAGTATTAATAGGTCAGTATTCATAATAAATTCTTATTTTAAGATTGTTTTAAGTAATAACTTAATGTCTTTGATTGGTTTGTAACTTCTTAAGACAGTCTTAAATATAAGATCTGACTATGGATAGTAGACTGTCTTAAGTAATTTTCAGATATCACGAACCAATCAAAAAGTCATATTAACATCTTAAGACTGTACTCAAGACTGTACGATCTTAAATATAAGAATCGACTATGAATCTCAGCTTATTAACACTCTGAGACTTAAGATAGTCTTAAATATAAGAGTCGACTATGAATACATACCGGCCTAAATTTAATCTACATTAGTAGAAATAAATATAAAACGATTCAGACACATAATCTCAGTACAAGAGTACGAAATTGAAGGAATTATATTAATATAAAAGAAAAAAAGATAATAGGATTATATTATACAGTATAATCAGCGTTTTTATCCTCAAATTATCAAGTATTCTCGATACAATAGGTACACTTACATCTTAACCTCGCATGACTTTTCGTGATTACAAAACGGACAATTGAATTGTGTGTCTAACGGTTGAATGGCCTTCTTTTTGCTAGGTGGTTTTCGTTTGCTTTTACGTCGACCCATCTCCTTTGCAATCGGAAATCACACGTATTCGAGCCAAGTGATATTTCTGAAGACTTGAAAAGTTAATAACGTCTATACACCACTCATAATTCAAGCAACTGTTCAGTACTGTTCATTTCGGTTCATAGTGGTGGAACTGGTGGAAGCATGGTAGAAATTATGGTGGAAGGGATAACATGAGCCGTGATCCGATTCATGCTGACAACACTCATGAGCATCATTTGTCTTTATTCAACATTTGATAAACAACTTGTTTAAAATGATTTTTAAGCCGGTTCTATCGAATCGCAAGTTTGTTGCGATTCAGCCAATCTGAAGCTTGCATTTTGAAATCAACGCTTCATATTGGCTGTCGCAACAAACTTGCGATCAGCTTGCAATTAATGTAGAACTGGCTTTAAGCATTGTGATGAGCGTGAATCAGTCATGGTGTGTACATTTGTTTGCAGTTGGATAGTATCTCTTTCTAATAGCTCCGGCACACCAGCGCGATGTTCGCGCGCAACATCCAATGAGTGTACAGCTTTACCGATGTTTTTATTCTAAAAGTATATTCTCATTAGATATCGCACGCAATTAATATCACACTGATATGTTGAAGCTATAAGGCTGCGATCGATTTGACTTTCAGCGCTTTCCAGTATTTCTATTCTTATTTTATGTCTAATGAACGATAGAGATAGAATGACAATTACAAACCCTTAAGCCCGGACCTACAATAAATTTTTAAGCCTTAAGTTATAAGAATGAATCATAATCGATTATTCTTCTCACATTCAATCGCATAATTTACAAGGTAAAACACATTTACAAGGTTCACACCTTGATGGAAAAATAGAAAACAGAAAAGCAGCGGCCAATCAGAAGTCTCGCTAGTAGAGGGAACAGAAAGCTGAAGTTGTAAACTACCAGCTAGAGTTCTGATTGGCTGCTGCTTTTCTGCTTTTCGCTTTTCTGTCAAAATGTGAACGCCTTAAGTTGTAGCTCTATAGAGATACTCTGATAAACTTCATAATTTTTAACGAACATTCTGGCATGTTCAGGCGACTAGCTGGCGACTAAAATTCAAAAAAGCGTAAAAATTTAGTAGTGGATAATCATAAATATTACGACAGCAAGTCTATGGCCATGTATCATGCATTTCAAGTAAAAACATAATATATTTTCATTATGCATTTCAATGGAATGGATGAAAATCAGACCAATCACAAACCAGGAAGAAGATGGCTAGATTCTGATTAAAGAGAAAAGTTTAATAAGAGAAGTTTACGTCTTCCGTTTCAGCTACAAAATGCTCTTAAAAATTTTTTTCTACTTTTGCTTTTTCGAGTTATGTAGATTTATGAAACGAACATTATTTACGAACACCTTGTATATATATATATATATATAGTATACATCGATATTGTTCATCATTTTTAAAATTTTAATGTATCCACGATGCTAGAAATCGATTCGAGATCTCGGAGAGAGAAGTGATCAATTTGAACAATAATTTGGTCTATTCACAATGTGATTAATCATTTCTTTCTTTCTCAAAAAAAATCAAATTAACGTCAAATCGATGACGAATTGATGAGTTTTTTCAATGAATCAAGAATTATATTATATTGATATTTCGATCTCATTTCGAGATTTTACTAAAGGATATGCAATAATTATAATATTATAAAATTGAACAAAACAGGAACAGTAACAGGAGTAGTTATTTATCATTTGTTTAAAACAACTTGAAAATAAATCGAAATTCAAACATCGAATTTTTTATCCTTATCAGAGCCTAATTTTCACATCCAAGACGTCGTTTCGACATCGTATCGATATTAACTTTCTCACTGAGGTATTTCTATGTTTTCGTGCATGCAACATTTTTTGCAGTTTCCGATAAATTGTCATATAAAGTTTTAAGCCGATATTCATAATCAAATCTTATATTCAAGACAGTACTTAAGACGTTCTTGAAATAAGAATCGATTATGAATACCGACTTTAGTCTTGAATTGTGTGAGCAATCACTCCTTAAAATCTTTTAGCGTACTTAGGGTACACCCTGTATATATGTGTGTGTGTATGTGTGTGCGTGTGTGTGTGTGTGTGTGTGTGTGTGTGTAAATACATATATGTTCACCTTAAGTCTCAGTTGTTCTCAAGATTTTGATGTGGTTAGTTGTCAGCAAATAATTTGAAATTCAACCGTAATAATCTTGATTATTACGTCTAAACCGTAAGCATTGCATGTAAAATATCAAATAAAAAAATTTTAGTTCTATCATTTAAGTTCAGATGTCATTCTAATTTTATAAATCTCTTTTTTTATGATTCAATGCATTTAACAAATCATTCTACTTCTATCCTTTTACCTTTCATAACAGCAATCACTTTATTATAATTTTATTGCTTGGAATTAATCTGTACTCACCGTCAAACCGTAAAATAGATTTTAACCATAATCCATTGCTCACTGAATCTTCTAATTTTTATTTATCAGATTATAAAATGACAAACAATTATAAGGTTTATTCTTAATATTTCCTTTTTTAATTAATTTATTAGTTAGTTATACAATATGTTGCTTTCAACCTTGATAATAGTTTCTTATATATATGTACCTATTCGTACTCATTGTCAGTTTGAATTACGTTAACTATTTTTAATAATTTTTAATGTTTTATGTTTAATATTTTAAATTTTATTTCATATTTTATTTATAAAAATTAAAAAAGAAATAAAGAAACGTTTATATGTAAAGTAAAATTACATATCAAGTATCACTAACGACAAAATGCATCAATTTAGTATTAAAAGATGACGCGGCTAACTTCGACAAATATTTTATACAGTCCTCACTGTTAAAATGTACAATTCGGTATCCACTAAATCAGTACTATCTTTGATAATTATCTAAATTATAAATGTTACATCAGCTGTTTTAGTCATTGTTATAACAATATATTTATCTGTCATTTTGCAAAGTATTTTAAACTGTTTAATGAGAAAAGTAATTATATTAACGACGATGTGACACAATTTTTTCAATAAAAAAAGTCTCCGACAAAGTCGTAGGATTCTGGCTCTCGGTGAAATTGGCTGAAACTTTAGTATGTTATAATTCTTGACTCTGATCAAAAGTCACAGGCACAAAGCTTGAAAATGATCATTCTTTTTGTTATAGCCGTTCGAAGTTTTATTTTATTAATGTCTTAAAATCAAATTTTGATAATAAATGAAGATGCCAATATGCTATCCATTCTCACCGCTCTCATCCTCACTCCCCCAACTTCCTCACTTCATCCCCACTCACCTCCACCTCCATACATACACCCGCGCGCAATTTTATATGAAAAAGCATAAAAGTCAAAGTAATTTTTTATAATCATTTAGATTCTGTTAGGTTTTTAGTTCTTTCACGCATACGTTTGAGTATGTGTAAATGCGTGAGTTCTCTTACCTCTCACGTGCGAAGTACTTGATTATCACGACCCGAATGTTTGTTTCCGTGCGTGAAGCGTGCGCAAAAATATCGAATGCTTGCTGAAGTGCAATAACAACAGGATAGAAAATTTTTTTTCCTTTTCTCTTTATTTTTTGTGCATTGCAAATGTGAGAGGTAAGGGGATTCACGAAAATTAACTCCAAAGGAATGAAACGCCTTCACGTCGTTCCGGGTAATTTTGAGAACGGGCGATAAACTAAATCATAACCATATATATACACACACATATACACATACGCACACGCACGCACGCACGCACGCACATACGCACACATGCGCACACGCACGCACGCACAAATGTAATAAGAAAGCTTTACTTCAATTTTTATGCACTTTTTTCGAATAAAAATTTTTTTCATATAAAAAAACACGCGTATGTATGTGGGATTGAGAGAGAGGGTGGTGGGGGGAGTGAAGATAAAAATGGTGAGAGTGAATGCCATATTATTATCTAAAATCTCTTTATTTATAGAAACTTGATTTCGAAACATTAATAAAATAAACGGTTAATAACTTTAAACAGTTATAATAAAAAAACAGTCATTTTTAAGCTTTATGTCTATGGATACTTATGATCAATATGTCAAGAATTATAACATACTAAAGTTTCAACCAATTTCATTGGTTGAAACTTTAGTATGTTATAATTCTTGACATATTGATCATAGGCAATACATATTGCAATATTATTGTAATATTATTGTAATATTATTGTAATAATAGCAAAGACATATTGATCAAAGGCAAAAATTCTATGATTTTGTGCAAAGTCCTTTATAATGTAATTACAAAATTATATTTTCTTATAGTTTTAGGAAACTTGAAAACATATACATGTCCAAAAAATGTAGAACATTAGGACTACGAAAAGAATTCAGGGAACGTTACAATAAAGTTAATTCAGAAATACATCCGAAGAGTTTGAAAGTTGAATTTAAAAAAAAAAGGGAACTACACCATCAATCTCAAATTCCGCAATATTTGAGTTGAAAATAATGCATAATGGCACAAAAGAATATGTATGCCAACAGTGCGGTAAGACTTATATCATTCATGGTTAATACTTTTAATGTTCCTTATAACTTCATATTACCTCAACAATTATACATTTTATCTTATCATTTTCATATTTAATCTCGATAGTCTAAAGGCTTGCAGGGAATGCAAAAGATCCGGGTGCGACTCCCGGCCGAGGTAATATTTTTCGCAATAACAATTAATTATTTACAGATCCTAATATGTACTTTCAGTACCATTAAGATCGTTCGAAGATGCGAAAAAGCAAAAAATTGTTAAATTGTTAGGCAATTTAACTCGTAATATTACTGCGATTCAGTATAGTTAGCGTTTTAAAAGATTACATACGTAGATATATAAAATCACACAGAATCATAGAAGCATTTAAAATCCAACTAGACCGTTCAAAGCACTGATTGCTATAATTTGTGTTATTTTCATTTGTTTTATAACAATAATCTTCTTTATTATTAAAGATAAACACGTTATCATCTCAAAAACTTTGCAACAATATAAACATACATATTGACGTTAGGCCCCACAAATGCGGAGAATGTGGTAAAGCGTTTTTGTATGGATCGTATTTACGTCGTCATGAGACAATTCATGCAGAGCAAAAACCTTATCAATGCGAGTTTTGCGAAATATCATTTAAGTGAGTATTTAAGTGAGCAACTTAAGTGAACAAAAAAATTAGAGAAATTATTTGATAATTTGATGTCTATGCTTAAATTAATTGATAACAAACGATAAATGTTGCTACTGTCATTTTGTAGTTACAAATCGGTTCTAAAAAGACACATAGAGGCCAAGCATTGCATTGATAAAAATTACAAGTGCATCATGTGTGAGAAAGCTTTCAAAACTCAGCCAGAATTGCGTTATCACATAAACAAGATTCATTTTCAAAAACAGTATAAATGTAATCAATGTCCATCTACATTTGCCCATCCTAAGATCTTAAGAGAACACATAAAAATACATACAGGCAAGAAATCATATGTTTGTGAGGTATGTGCTACAAAATTATTGTTAGTATTTTTTCTAATTATTTCTCATTTGATTGTTTTTATTTTTACCTTTCTGTAATTATAAATGTATTGTATTTTAGATTTGCGGCAAAGCTTTTACTTTTAAAAGTAACCTAAACGATCACTGCACACATGTACATAGCGATGAAAAGCCGTATGAATGTTTGATGTGTGGCAAGAGTTATAAGCGAAAAAGGGCACTTGATGAACACATTCGAACTGAGGTCATTCGTGATATAACGTTTTAATTCATTTGCAGATTCACATTTGTCTTTCTATTTTTGTTATATATTTATAATATATATTATCATACTAATATAATAGATTATGTAATATACCATATTATAATATACCATAACACATGTGATATATAAAAAATTATTTATTTTTTAGGGTCATAAAAGTGACATCACCTGTATGACAAGAAAAGAACAAACTGCAGCTGACAATAAAATAGATAAAGAACAATTATAACTACTCTTAATGATAAACTGATGAAAAAGAAGAATAAAAATGTAACTTTAGTATGAGATGTTATATGAGATGGGAGTTTTCCAGAAAATACAATTTTTCTCGGAGGTACAATTGAATACTGTCAGACACACGAGCACCATTGTGTAAAGTTGGCAATGCGTTCAGAAAACAAAATTGTCCAGTAAATCCTCACTGCTTAATACCTTTAATAATTTTACGTCCTTGGGTTTAAAGTAATACACTCGCGAATTGAAAACAGAATTTTTTGAAATTGATGCTATATGTATTTCACTGGAAGACGTTATTACATTTGTGCAATTGCAATGAGGTTGAGGTTTCAATATTAAAATGTAAGCAATTGAAAGCTGCACACAAGCTTTTTACACAAAGTTTCGCTTACACAAAGTTAATAAAAATGTCGCGTTTCTTTTTATAAGGTTTAAATTAGACATGACATGTTATTAAGAAACGAGTATTCGAGTAAGGAACTGGAAAGGAATATTGTGAACCAAATCGAGAAAAAATGTTTTATATATAATTATATAAAATTATACATAATTATATCTAAAATACTTTTCCCGGGGTCATATAATTTTTTATTATTTAATTTGGAAAAGAGTGACAAGAATTTAATTTTCGTAAACATTTATCAATGCATCATATGAACTAGAGGGAGGTAGCAATGAACTAGGCTGCGTTTATCAGTGTTGACACTTTCCGCGTGTACTTGCGGCATGCGGCCATGAATAGATGCATCAAAAGTTTTCTCTCACTGCGGCAATGGAAAGTCACGGTATCAAATGCTTGAGGGGAGTTAACTTTTGATGATATTATCGCGAATGTACTACCTTATAGATTCCTTTCTTATTACCGCTTACAGCGTAGTAAGCATTGTATTTGTTTAATATGTGATGGACAAGAATAAAATAATTCTTACAGCGTAAAAAAACTTATTAAATGTATTAATCAATCGTAATAAATACAATCAATTATAGAGCTAATTTATCGGCTGCGTCTTCAGAATACAGTCTAATTTTAATATTGTACGTGCTGACTATTATTTTGTACGTATGACTATTATTCATGTATGCACTTATATTGTAAGTCGAGAAACATGAATTATATTAAAGCAACTGATATTATAAAGCATTAATAATTTGTTCTTATCTAAATTATCGAATCGCCATAATATTTTTATGATAAAGCTCTACATAGAAATCTCTTAATATAAATATAGGTAGACGTACTATTCCGAAGGGACAGTAATTCTTTGCCTACATTATATTTGCCAGTTTGAGTACAAAAATTATTGCCTACAGCTAGATCATGCACTAATTTCTGCTTTAAAACCGCAAACTCTCTATTTTAAAAACACAAATCATAATCATAGATAGTTCAGGTGCATACAGGCGATCGATCTGTAAGCAACATGCAAAATAATATTTTGCTAACATTATAGCTGTTTTTTGTATCTGATAGAAAATTATGTATCATATGCATAGAATTTCTGGTACAAATCTAAAATTAGATGTAATATATACCCAATATTGCAGTATTTACTAGAACTTTATCTACTTCAGCTATTTTTTTATACTTAGATAATTTTCGCTTTAATTATAAGATCACTTTTTTGAGTGAATAGTATGTATGTGCTATTCACTCAAAATTTTATTAAACGCTTTACACATTTTTCATAATAGCAATCACTTTATTATAATTTTATTGCTGGAATTATATCTGTTCTCACCATCAAACGTAAAATAGATTTTGACTATGGTTTGTTGCTCATTGAACTTTCTAATTCTTTTTATCAGATTTTTAAAAGCAATTATATCGTTTATTTCTAATATTTCTCTTTTTATACTCATTAACAATTTATACAAAATGTTGCTTTCAACTGCTTTAATAACTGTTTCTTATTTACATTATGTTCCTATATTCATATTCAATTTGAATTTACATTTTTAACTATTTTCACTCTTTTCCAATATATATAATATTTTCAAATGAATATTTTATTTATGTAAATCAGAAAGAAATGAAGAAATGTTCACGTGTAAAATCAATATTCCAAATACATATACATATACAGTATCACTAACGATAAAATATGTCGATTTAGCAAAAGATATTAAAATATGATGGCAGATTTCGATAAAGTTTTCATATAACGCTATTATTATAAAAGCATATTGTGTGGTATCCATTAAACACAATGCATCTTTGATAACTCTATATCTAACAATAAATTATGAATGTCACATCGGCATTATTTTAGGCATTGTTAACAATGTATCGACACCTAAGCCATAGAAGATGCTACTCGAGAAAAACATGAAGAAAGGTCTACGTCAAGAAATTAATAAAAGCGGTCTATTTCGCATCGAGCATGAAGACCGGTTTATGTCGGAATGTATACGAAGTAACTTTTATATCGAGAAAGTGAGAAGGACGAGTCACTCGAGTTCAAGTCGCATGAAATTAAAGGATCTAATATTTATAGCGCAATATTTACTATTCATAAATTACACAAACTTTGTTATGGAAAATTAAATAATAGATGAATAAATGAGTAGGAGAAAAAGGATTGAAAATCAAGATGATTCCCGTTTTCAATAATAAAATTTATGAGAAGAAAATATTGCGCTACATAGACTTTTTTTTATTTTCATTCGACTTGAACCATTCTTGTCGCTTTCTCGATATAAACCGTATGTATGCATTCCAACATAGACCGTTTTTCACGCATCACGCGAAATAAATCCCTTTTCATTAATTTCTTGACTTAGACTCTTCTTTCTGTTTTTCTCGAATCAATATTCTTCTGTTTGTGCAAAAAGTGTTTAATGAGTGAAATAGTTACGTTATTGGCGATCTTTCGTGATATAATTCTTTGATATATTTTCTTTGATATATTATAATTATTTGATATAATTTCTTTGATAATAAACTTATCTACAATTTCTCAAAAATTATATTCTATTACGGCTTTAGGTGGATAAACTTGAAAGTAAACATTTGAAAAAATTTAAACTGTGAGAAAAGGAATTCAAAGAAAATTACAATAAAATTAATTGAAAATACCTCTGAAGAATTTGGGATTTGAATTTTAAAAAAATGAATTTTAAATCTCAAAATTCGCAAAATTTGAGTCGACATGAAGGAACGTACAATGTCATAAAAGAATGTATGCCAACATACATATTCAGTGGTAAGATTTGTGTTTTTCATGGTTAATAATTTAATGTTTTTTAATAACTTTGTATTATTTCAACAGTTATTCGTTTTATGTTACCATTTATTTTATCCCAGCAAACGAGAATGGATTGAAATGAATTGAAATGGATTCAGATTTTCAGAAATATTGATTCATGAATGTTAAAATGAATGCTTTTCAATCCTGAATGCATTTTTATTCATTTATAGGAATTGCATGAAGCATATCTCTTTTCAATCTAAAAATAATATTAGCTTTTTCTATGCACACATACATTGTGATACTATTTAATTCAAAATTTTGAATAGGAAATGCAGTTTTTCAATCCAATTGCATCCAACTGAATCTAATTGAATCCAATTGAATCCAATTAAATCCAAAAAAAGTATTCGCTATTTAAAATATACATTCGGATAGAAAATTTTCAATAAAAAATTTCAATCTATTTTAATATATTCTCGTTTGCTGGGATAACAACAATTTTCCTTAATATTAAAGATAAGCATAAATTGCTTATTTTTAATATTAAGGAAGATTAGATTGAATCATCTCATAACAACGCAAATGCGATTCATACATACTGTTGTAACGTTTCACCATGTACGTTCAGCATTTTAATCTTCCTCCTGCGAAACGTGTGATGAACGTTTCGGTATGAATCGCATTGATGAATCGTTATGAGATGATTCAATCCAATTAATCCACTGGCTCAACATCTCAAGTCGGGACAGGGGCCTACCTCTCGTACGTATGCTTGTGGTGGCACGCAAGTTGTGTACAGAGACATACGGGACTTACAAATTTAACGCCGGTTTTGGCAGTTTTTTTAAGAGATTTTCTTGGCAATAGATACTCTCTTGGTGGTTTGCCAGACCACCGAAGAGGAGTTGCGAGCTGCGTGAAAATTCTTGAGTCTGTCTGGAATCGAACCCGGGACCTCTGACATAGCAGTCTCGAGCGTTACGTACCATGCTCGTGCTCCTTGATTCATGGGAAAAACCTTATCAATGCAAATTTCATGAAAAAGCATTCATGTAAGTGAGTATTTAAGTGAATAACAAAACTTAAGAATCATTCCACACAAACTTGCGTAGTCGCATAATCATATACATAACAAAAATTATCCCATCACAATTCTGTCATAAAACAAATGTAAAATACGATTGGATGATTTTCTTTATGCATATGTTTACGCGGCTATGCAAGTGTGTGAAATGGCCCGTAGTACAGACTTTTGCATAATGCATAATGCATAAGCGAATCAACTGATCAGAACCTTCTCTTTCTTTCCATTCCATAAAAAAGAAGATTTTCGATTGGTTAATTTCCTTATGCACTATGCAAGAGTCTGTGCTGCGACCATTAAAGACCCTTGGTCCTGAGCAAATTTTCATGACTATAGGTGTTCGGCATTGCAAATTGAAGACATCCGTTTGCACTTTTACTTCGAAAATCGTTCGCATCTTTTTGCTACATGTAGTATTAGTGGCTCCGCACAATAAAAGTAATAGAGAACAGAGAATAAAAATTTTAACCTATCCGAAACTGTGTATTCCACAATACATGATTTCTGATAAGTTGAAATTCTTATTTTCTGTTCCCTGTTTCTTTCATTGTGAGGAGCCCCTTAATCCAAATTAAAATCACTAGGAGCGCGGTGACTTCGCTTCCTTCGTTTAACACGGAGCTTACACTTCTCATTATATATGTTCTGTAGTACTTATCTTTTATTATCGTAAATTATCTGTTGTAGGCATAAAAAAGAAGAAGAATCAACACAGTCCAATACTAGCTCTTTCCTTGGGTCAGAAAAATAGGGGCATAAGAAAAAACTATCTGTAAGTTTAATTTTGTTTTCCCTGTTTATCGACAAGATATATTTTGATAACTATAGAAAGAGATTGATATTCGTAGATATATTTATGTTTATGATTAATCCTTTTAGATCACATTTTTGCGTGTGACAATTTTAAATTAACTGCTGACAATGGCAACAAAACACAACTTAAACTACAATTATGAAGAAATCTTGAAATGTCATCCGGAGATGATACTTATTTCAGAATCGCCTGTCACTTGGCAAGGCTTTCTACTTGTCTCAGAATTGTATCCTACTACGAATATTCGATGTTCCAGAGTAAAAGTGAAACTAGTTATGCCCAATTATCCATCATTTGATAAGGCACGAATCAGCTTTGGCAAGCATATTGCTTTCCTACGGAACATAGGATTCAGCAGAGAAGTGAAGAAGTCAATGAAAACTCAACAAAAAACTGTATCATTATTTTTGTCACAGTTACAATTACTTATTGTAAGTAAGGTATATTGCTTTACTATTTTCTCTTTGACAATTATATTATTATATATTTTCAAAATAGGGTAAATATATACATAATACAAGTAGTAAAGTTTGTATACCGTTTGACTTTGAATCTACAACAAACTTTTTGCATGATATAAAAGCAGCTCTTCAGAATCAGTCTGTAAGTAAATTTACAGTTGTATTTATCTATAAATTCTTACATGAACTTGATGTTGAAGATCTCTTATTAAAGGATGTGCAATTGTCATGCGATCGAAATCTGAGTACTATCAAATTATCCTTAAGAGAAATATTTCTTACATTGCAAAGATGCAAAGATATTGATATTCCCTGGAAAGTAGTATCTTCTAACATGCCTGAAAACTTTGAGAAGATAGTATTAAGCAAAAATTTGAACATTATGACGACAAAGTTCAAATGGCAAGTAGAAATACTGGAAAGAGCATGGGAACAATTGAAAGAAATTGATGAGTGAGTAATTTCATTACTTGTTTATATTTTCTGTATAAAAAAAATTATATTTCATTCTACTGCTGAAAGAATTGTCAAATAATTGTTATAATGGAATATTCTAATGTGAAACATTACCAGGAATTGTTGGGTAATTGACCCACCAAAACCAAATAAAAGTCACATGCACAGACGCATTCATTTGTCGCAATCTATATCTATAACAATTACAATAGATCCCGTTGCTCCTACTGTTGTGCCAACAATTCAGTTCTCGGGCAGCGATAACGAAGTGAAAAGACAAATGGAAGATGTTTCCAATAATATTCATGTACGTTACCAATAATATTCACATACGTTCTTGCATGATGTGAACAACAGCAATTTGTATGCACTAAAAATTAATACATTTTTTTTACAGAACTGGAATCCGGATTATAATATTTTAGATAATCTGAGGATGTTGTTAAATATGTATACATTTCCCGAGCAGCAGGACAATTTGGACGATTCGCAAGGTGTCATCAGTAATCGTGAATGTGGTATATGCTTTTCTGAAACATCAGAAACTGATGAATTGCCAAATAAGATATGCAATAACTATAAGTGCATGAAATACTTTCATTCAGTATGTTTATCAAAGGTATGTCAGAGAGATATATTATACATTAATGTTCTTTATATAAAATAATTATTTCAAAAGTCATTGAAAACTAAAATAGATAAAATAGGAGACACTCTTAAAAGAATATAGTAAAATTAATCTGATACAAAATAAAATATACTTCAATAGAATTAATTTCTTTTACAGTGGTTACAAACTAATGCTACGAATCAAGTTGTGTTCAGCCATATCTATGGCAATTGTCCACATTGCAAGGAAGACATTTCCTGTCCCATTGAATGTTGAAGGCAAATATTAACTTACTTTTTATAATACTGAGATAAATTTTATTCAAATATATGTATGTGTGTATAATTCATTTCTTGGAGCCATTCTTTTACAGACTGATTGAATTCTGAAGTACCACATATTAAAATTAATGTTGTTTTTGTATCATTAAATTGAAGATAATCAGCAACGAGTGCTTTGCTCAAACGACCAGTATTTATATTAAAACCATGAAGATTGACTATCTTGTCTGAAACAATAATTTTAGAAAGTAATATAGTACATTTATATAATTTTAAAAAGTTCTTAATTTTAATCAGTTACTTATGTTTACAGAAATCATTGATATTTATTTAACTATGAAAGTATGAAAAATATTATTTTTTGAATGTACTTATCATAGAGCATTTTACATTTTAACATCATACAAGATGTTAAAAAAAATCGTTCAAAATTTATATAGTAGCTAATACTGAGTAAAAAAGTTCATTGAACAGTTGAGCTTTCAATCTATGTTTACTAAAGCTTTTTTAATCAATATGATCTGTAGAAATGCTGAATAGTTTTTTTAATACCTTGTATAATTTTAACTAAATACTTTTTCTATTACTGAATTCAAATGTTACATACCGTTTAACTGGGACAACTGTAATGTACATTTAAAATTCCAATAATTCACTAAATGCGTTAACTCTTTTTGCAGAGGCACATGCGCTACTGACCTAAATCCCGCAACAAGATGCACTCTTGTCAGTTCTGTTTCATCATCAACGATTGCCTTAGCAATGGGATAAAGCGCTGCTATTCCTGAGCCGATACCAAACATGGTAATCTGCTGAAAACTGTCATAACAATGCGTTGATTCATCGTTGAGAAAAAAAATATTTACTTATCCACTTCACACACCTGTTACTTTCATACTTGAAATCTCCGTAAGGACCCCTGATGTCAATTGCACTTCCAATTGATGCATTTTTCAGCAGTAAACTAAATTCACCATGTTTATATAATTTTACCAAGAAAATTAAACTTCTGCATGTCCAAGCAATTGGAGTGTATGGTCGGGATTTGCTCCAAGAATGCAGCATGACGTATTGGCCAGGTGTCAGATGTAAAATATTTTTTTCTATTTTACATTCTATAACAAAAAAAATTTGGGAGAGTCTATAAGAAGATTACATTACTATTTACATTCTATGTAACATATACAAAGTTTTTTTAATATGAAATATGTTTTATGATATTTTAAATACTATTGTTTTAATTACTATTGTTTTTAATATTATAATTTTTTATAAGATACATATTATAAGATACAAGTATAATTTTTTTTGCTATAAGTTGTTGTATTTCCTATTAATTATTTGCAGTACATTTTATAGAATTTGTTACGTTTGCTATTAAGTTCATTAAACTATAATACCTGGATATTCCAAACAAATTAAAATATAGTCTTTCGATGCATCAGATATATCTGTGATAACAAACGTTTTGTAGGATAAAAGAGATAATAAATTGTCAGTTGTTTTAACTTCTCGAGTTTTTTTATTTTCCCATTCTTTTAGCAATGTTTTGTGAACGTCGAAGATACATGGTGTACAGCCGCTATTGCAACAATCTTCCTCCAGTGGTGTTTTGGGTCTATGATCTTCATAATCATTACTATTGTCTAAATTCATTTTATACAAATAACTTATTGCATTATTAATATAATTTTTTCTCTGTCACAAGTTAACCAAACTATACTACTAAAGATGTTTAATAATAAATCAAAATTAAATTATAATAATTATTGCAAAATTTATTTTCACATATTAAACATTTCATCAGTAGACTTGTACAAAGAAGCATTTTACTTTATTTTGCAACATATCTTGCAAAGAAATTATAAAGATCAATTGACACATTGCAGACAGAACCACACACGTGCAACGGATCACGTGACTATCTCGATTGACAGACTCGTATGATGTAATAGAGGAGGCTGCCTAAAAGTTTTAATATATTTTAATTTTTTTCTGATAATTTATATTAATAACATACAGTATAATTTGATAATATATTTTTTTCAATTTTAAATAAATATATGCAAGTATATTAGAATTATTTAATAAAAAATTTTT